AGGCCACGCTAGGCAATGCTCAACCCACCTCAAGAAATGACTCAAAGAAGAAGAGTCCTCAGGAGTGGAAGAAGAAGGGGGCAAAGTTGATGATGGTGGAGTCTGATGGGACTCAAACAGAGATCGACGAGCTCTCTGACCTGGCGGACTACACAGAGTTTGACGGCGAGGAGATAGCGAGGGTAGCACCCTCGCCGCGGTAGTAAAGACTAAGGCAGATGGCCGAGGGAAGGGCCAGCCTAGGGGTCAAGGGAAGGCCGCCTCCAATCAGACCAAACAGGCTGAGTGGGTAAAGGCAGGTCTTGATCAAGACGTGTGGCGTGACCGCCGAATGTGTGGCGCTTGTATCAACTGCGGAGAATACGGACACACGCAGTGGAAGTGTCAGAACGCTAAGGTTACGCAAAAGGTTGCACCAAAAGTTGGGGCAACTTATTCCCAGGCTTTTAGCTCGGGAAACACGTGAGGCCAGTGGAAGTAGTAGCTGCTTCTACTCAAGATGAAGTAGGAATGATACCGTCCCTACTTCATGACAAGGCCAAGGCTAATGACCCCTTAGTCACCCCGCAGACACAACTAGACCAAACTATGGTTTGTACGTTAGATGTGTCTGAAGCCTTAGAAGACTTGGAGAGTGAGTGGTCAAACAAGGACCCTCGCGAGTCTTGGGTGGCGCTGAGGAAAGGTCCTTGAGGGGAACATTTCGTGGTGGAAGTGGATGTAGGAAGCCGCAAATGTGGTGCCTTCATAGATAACGGATCCAAGCGAAATTATATAAGTCGCGATTGTTTGGAAAGGCTGCACCTACAGGACCGGGTACGGCACCTTAGTAGACCAGTAGCATCTACTTTGGCCAACAAAGAGCGCATGATTGTCACAGACTACATCAAGGACGTAGTCTGTACCTTCTCCTATGGAGGAGGAGAGCTTAACCATAAGATCTCGTTCTTGGTTAGCGACGACTTGCCATTCGAAATGTTGTTAGGCATGTACTACCTCGAAGTTGCTAAGCCCCAGTTCGAATGGGATAAGAAGGTGCTCAAACACAAGTTGCCTGATGGCGGAACTATCAGATTGACCAAGTTCAAGGCGAGTAGTATTATAGATACCTATGGCTGCTTGTGCGCATCCGCGTTCTACAACTATTACAAGCAAAACGAAGAGGAGGGTATGTACCTTGTTTATGTCTCCGAGAAGGGAGAGGCCGTTAAAACACCCCCGGAGATAGAACGCGTCGTTGGTAAGTTCCCTGATCTGTTCGAGGAGCCCTCATGAGTTGTTGATAGGGAAGCTGTCCACGCTATAGAAATCATTCCAGGGAGTAAGACCCCAAAGGGAAGGATCTATAGGATGGCCCCTGCCGAGTTAGATGAACTTCGGAAGCAACTAAAGGAGCTGACAGAGAAGGGATGGATTCGGCCTAGTACTTCCCCTTACGGATCACCCGTGCTATTCGTACCAAAGAAGGGGGGTACTTTGAGGATGTGCATTGATTATAGGGGCCTCAATGCCATCACAGTGAAAAACGCAGAGCCTCTACCACGCATAGACGACCTATTGGATAGGGTGCAGGGATGCAAGTACTATACTAAGATAGACTTGAAATCCGGATATCATCAGATCGCAATAAGACCTGAGGACCAACACAAAACAACTTTTCAAACTAGATATGGTCTGTATGAGTTTGTAGTGATGCCTTTTGGTCTTTGCAATGCGCCGGGTACATTTCAGCACGCTATGAATCGGATCTTCCATGACCATTTAGATAAGTTTTTTGTGGTCTACCTAGACGACATTCTGATCTTTAGTAAGTCTGCCGAGGAGCATGCACAACATGTTGAAACGGTACTTTCACTCCTTCGACAGCACGAGTATAAGGTCAACCTAGAGAAGTGTAAATTTGATCGCACTAAGATACTATACTTGGGTCATGAAGTATCCGCGGAGGGAATTAGGCCGGAAGATGCGAAGGTGGCTAGCATTCGAAACTGGCCACGACCTCAAACACTGAGGTCAGATCATTCTTAGGAATGTGCGGTTACTATAGGAATTTCGTAAAGAACTATTCTACAGTCGCCTCTCCTTTGACTGATCTAACTTGACTTGACACGCCGTGGGACTGGAGTGATGAGTGCGAGAGTGCTTTCAAGAGATTGAAGCATGCTTTCATGAATCATGAAGTTCTCATGGTTCCCGATCCGCAGAAGCCATTTATAGTAACCACTGACGCAAGCCAATACGGCATTGGCACAGTGCTGGCTCAACAGGATGGGAAAAAGTTGAGACCGATTGAGTACATGAGTAAGAAGATGCCATCGAAGAAGTTGGCTAAGTCCACCTACGAAAGGGAACTCTATGCTCTCTACAAGGCACTTGTCCATTGGAGACACTTCCTTTTGGGAAGRTTCTTCTATCTGAGGACTGATCATCAGACCCTCAAATGGATCAAGACTCAACCGGCTCTTTCTGATGCACTCAAGCGATGGATTGAGGTCATAGACCAATATCACTTCAAGCTTGAGTACCTGAAGGGAGAGTACAACAAGGTTGCAGACGCGCTATCCCGTAGAGCAGACTACCTAGGTGCGCTGGTTTCTGAATTTGGCATATCTAATGAAGTAACTCAATCCTTGGTGGGAGCCTATCAGGAAGACTCTGTCACGATGGACATCATCCACAAACTTCAGGCAAAAGACAAGGCCACAGAAAGTGAGTTTGTGATGGTGGATGGGCWAATCTATCTTGATAAGGCCGGAGTAAAGAGACTGGTAGTTCCATCTAGTGAACAGTTGCGTAGTTTATTTTTAGGAGAATGTCATGACGCAACTGGGCACTTTGGCTACAAGAAGACGAGTGCTAAGTTAGTACAGCGATTTTGGTGGCCCAGAACGCTAGATGACGCAAAGAACTCAAGCACCGCTTGGGTTGTTGAAGCCTTAAACTATTCCTGAGGGTCCAGGATTGAGTGTTCCCATGGATTTCATGGACACCCTAGTGACCAGCAAGAGTGGTAAGAGGCACATTTTCGTCATAATTGACAGATTCGCCAAGTACGCTAGACTAGTACCAATGCCAGAGACAGCCAAGACGGAATAAGTCATCAAGTTGTTCAAGGACAATTGGGTAAGGGACTTTGGTTTACCAAAGACCATCATTAGTGATCGAGACGTCCGATTCACAAGTGAGTTGTGGAAGAAGACTGCGGAACAGATGGGCAGTCAACTTCAGATGACTTCAGGGAATCATCCCGAAGCCAACGGACAGGCCGAACAAATGAATAGAGTTGTACAGCACTTACTGGCACTACATCAAGCCCAACCAGGATGACTGGGATGAGCAGTTACCTCTCATTGCCAGCCTGTACAACAATGCTATACACAGTAGTACCAGCGTTAGTCCTAACCAACTGCACTTAGGATGGAAGCCTAGATCAGCACTAGACTTCCTCCTACCTGAAAAACGACCTGCTGCAACTCCAGGCACACTTGAATACGGTGTGCAATATGAGAAGTTGCAAGAGGCTGTAGAACATATGAAGAAGGCTCAGCAAGCCATGATAGCTTCTGAGAATCAACATTGTAGACAGTCCACCTTTCAGGTAGGGGAACGTGTCTGGGTCAAGGCTAGCGAGTTAGGACAGGAATTCGGGATATCTCGCAAACTAATACCTCAGTACTTTGGTCCCTGGGAAGTCTTGGATGTAACGGGAGATGAGTTGGATGGTCCCACATATGTCATTCGTGACCCTGGACACTTACACACTCACCCAGTCTTTCCTGCCTCAAAGCTTGCACCTTTCGCTGAGACTGATCAATTCCCTTCCAGGAGATCGATGCTGCCCCCAACCATGGATGGACAAGTCGACATCGACGATATTGTGGATCACARGGATATGCCTGTTMCGAAGCCGCTGGGTCGAGGAAGACCTCCTAAGCCCAAGAGGGAGTACCGGATCAGATTCARGCATCATACGGATCCGAAAGAAGAYCRGTGGTTTACCCGGGAGGAACTGATGGAAAYAGCTCCTCASGTGGTGGCAGATTATGAACGGAAGCTAAAAGGGAAGGCACCTGCGAAGTAAGCATCTCAGCGGACTTTCGAAGCTAAGGGGGATGGAATGTGAGGATTGAGCCCTCAAGTAGGGGCCTTGCCATGATGTACATGTTCTGGGCTAAGGCCCCAGCAAGCCTTGTGCCCGCCCTAAGTGAAGGCG